AAAAAAAAAAAAAAAGAAAAAAGAGAACTACCTTTCCATATCTCTTGCTCAGCTTGTCTTTCCCCACTGCTTTGCAAGAGTTAATGATACATTAAAGAAATTATTTCTTTGTATATCATGTGCTACAAATACATTTTCCCAGTTTGTCCTTTGTTGTTGCTTTGTAGTCATATTATTAATCTCTTCCTTTTGGCTTCTGGGTGTCAGGCCTGCTTAGAAAGTCCTTTCCTGTTCCAAGATCATCAAAGCATTCATACTTGTTCTATTCTATTATTTTTATATATATAATGTTTATATTATGATTTTTAGATCTTTGATCTGGGATTTAACTTGTGGTATGAAGAGTAAGGAAGTGAACTAGTTTAAAAAGTAAATTTACCCTTAAAATACAATAAAAATTTCTGGGTACCATTACATAATTACTGTTTTAACTTTCTTAAAGAATATTCATAATTTTAAAAATGAATTCAAAGTTCACCTGTTTTACAGTATAAAGTTTTATACACACATTTAATACATATGTATATATGTATGAATGTGTATGTAATGAAATAAAATTATATTTTCCACAATACTTTGAAATGTCATATTACAATTTGACATTATTACTATTAAAATAGTTTCTATTTCTTCTTTTTCAATATCTTCTTGATTTCCTGGATCTTCCAGATTTCTTTTTTGTTCTACGGTATTTTCTTTCAAACAGTTTCTTTTCAATTAAGCTCACTTCTTCATGGAGTAAGGAGGTCTTTATTCTTAGCAGGAAGGAGAAGAGATTTAGTATAAACTGGTAACTCAGAGAAAAATTCGATTCTTCATAGGTTGTCAAATGTTTACAATAGCTAGAAGGAAAAGAAAAACTATTAAGTTCTCTTTATTTTCTTTTTCTGTTTGTTTGTTTTTTGAGACAGAGCCTTAAGCTGTTGCCCTGAGTAGAGTGCCATGGTGTTATAGCTCATAGCAACCTCCAACTCTTGGGCTCAAGCGATCCTCTTGCCTCAGTTTTTCTATTTTTAGTAGAAATGGAGTTTCACTTTTTGCTCAGGCTGGTCTAAAACTTGTGAGCTCAAGCAATCCACCTGCCTCGGCTTCCCAGAGTGCTATGATTACAGGTGTGAGCTACCATGCCTGGCCATTAAGCTCTCTTTAAATGGTCATTTAGAAATGCATGCATAACCCTTGAACTTACCCCCAGATAAATTAGCAAATATATGTGATCAGGCTTAAAACAGTACTCTGAATTGGAAGGAAATTTAGAACAATTTGGTAACACTCCTCAACTCTACAAAGGAAAAATTTTCACAGTGTCCATGGCTACCATGCAAGGGACACAGTTGGTGCTGGGAGCTGGGTCTTAGGACTCTCACCCAGATGGGTTCCAATCCAGATGGGTTTCTTCTCCACCTTCTCACCATGGTCAAAGCAAACAAAAGCCCACAAGGAGAGATTCTGAACATATTTTTAAAATAAACTAAAGGAAACAAATAATCCCCAACTTTCACCCCAAATAAGAAATCAGGCTTTATAATGTAGCTTTGCAATCCTGTATGTATTACAGAAAAAAGAGTTGACTGAAGATAGTCAAACCTGAATCTGATCACTCTAAGTAATGCTAGCTGTCAATCTCTAACTACAACAAATTATAGGCAATCCAGAAACAGAGAAACAGGTTAAACAGTATCATTTGGTTGTCATCAGCATCCAGACTATGGGAAATTTTACAGAACCCATGTGACCTGGATTACTCACCAAGTACACTGTAAGAGGGGACCAGGGAAAGAGAGAAAAAAAGGGGACCTTATGAACTAAAACCCTTAAGGGCCATACCTGCGGTTCTCAACCTCTGGGTCCTGACTCACAGGAACTGTATTAAAGGGCCACAGCAATAGGAAGGTTGAGGACCACTGGGCTATACCAACCACTTGCAACATACAGGCCTTATGTGGATTGAGTTAAACTCATTAAAATATTATACTGACAACTGGGAAATATCTAAACATTAACTGTACATTTGATAATATTAAGAAATTTGGGCGGTGCCTGTGGCTCAAAGGAGAAGGGCATGGGCCCCATGTGCCAGAGGTGGCGGGTTCAAACCCAGCCCTGACCAAAAAAAATCAGCAAAACAAACAAAAAAAGAAATTAGTATTAATTTTTTGATGTCTAGTTAATAGTAGTATGCCTTTATTTTAAAAAATATTATGGCTGGGCGGTGCCTGTGGCTCAGTGAGTAGGGTGCCGGCCCCATATACCAAGGATGGCGGGTTCGAACCTGGCCCCGGCCAAACTGCAACAAAAAACAGCTGGGTGTTATGGCAGACGCCTGTAGTCCCAGCTACTCAGGAGGCTGAGGCAAAAGAATCGCCTAAGTCCAGGAGACAGAGGTTGTTGAGAGCTGTGACTCCATAGCACTCTACTGAGAGTGATAAAGTGAGACTCTGTCTCTAAAAATATATATATATATACACACATATATATATCTGTCAAAAAAAAAAAAAATAATAATGGGCTTTGAGAATCTGCTTCCAAATAGTGAGGGGCACAGGGTGAAGAAGTGAGTTGGGCCTGGGTAAAAACAAGTCCAGTTATGTTGTAACTATTGTTGGTAGGTGACAGAGATAGGAGGGTTCTTTACATTATTCTTACTATTTTTGAGTATATTTGAAATTGTCCATAATAAAGTTAAAAAAATAATAAATTAAATAACATATAGAAGCTATAAACTTTGAGATATTATGATTTATATAACATACAGAAGCTACAAACTTTGAGATATTGTGATTTATATAACATATATGGTCCTAAATTCCTGAACATCTATGTTTGCACCACAAAGCTCTGCCACCAATCAGCTATGACTATGGATAATTACTCTTGCTTTTCTCATCTGTAAAACAGTAAAAACAAAATAACCCCCCCCCCAAACAGTACTCACAGTTCATAGGGTTGATAAAAATATTAAATAAGAATATATATTAAGCACTTAACCCAAGGCTTGGCACACAGTAACAGCTCAAAAATGTTCACTCCCCATACATTCCTTTAAAATTATTTATTTTTTTGTTTTCATTTAAAATCAACCTTAAGGCTATTTTAAGTACTAATACACAATAAAACCAATATCCTACAACGTTCACTGGTAGGAAATTTTGAAGCCTCAAATGTCTATTCATTGAATGGCCTAATAAAGATAAAATATAAGGGTGGCGCTCATAGCTCCGTGGGTAGGACGCTGGTCACATACATGGGGGCTGGTAGGTTCAAACCTGGCCCACACCAGCTAAACAACAATGACAACTGCAACAAAAAAACAGCCAGGCATTGTGGTGGATGCCTGTAGTCCCAGCTACTTGGGAGCCTGAGGCAAGAGAATTGCTTAAGCCCAAGAGTTTGAGGTTGCTGTG